CTAGCTTAAGGATTATTTAGGAATATTTTATACTGGAATATAGTTTAATTATTTAAACTAGAATTCCTTTAAGGGTTGACAAATATTAAATTGATTGGCCTTAGACTAAGAATAGTTTAAGGATATTGTTGAATGTTGAATATTGAATATTGAATATGAGTAAATATTGAATGATGAGTATTGAATTGAATATTGCAATTATTATGAATGACTGATGAACATTGAATGTGAATATAAATGTTGAATAATGCACGATGAATAATTTTTAATAATTATTGATTATTTGAACTGAACATTATGTGCATGATATCAAATGATTTGATTATGAATTTAGATTCAGTTTATATGGATGTTCGATGCATTAGATATGCTTTCTCAGCTTCAACGCTGAGCGTGTAGTATGTTTTATTTGCTACACGCAGGTTAATGAAGTGACGTGATCCTGGAGGCAGACGGAGGCGAGATTGTCGGAATGGATGTGATGGTTTTGAATTAAAGAACATAAATAAATTATGTTTGTGATTATGATTGTTAAGCTTCCGCAATATGGAAAACTCCGTACTGTTTATATTATGAAAAATATTATTGTGATAAATAAAAGTGTTTGAAATGTTTTAAATTTTTACGATTACCAAGTTAATACTTTAATCTGAAAGGGGCTGCAGACCTGGACAGATTAGGGTGTTACAGTTTGGATGCAATTCTAAGTCTAATCTCCCAGGATTCACAAACTCATCGTAACTAACCCCTGGTCCCGGGAAAGCTTTAGCAAACTCTAATTTGTCTAAAAGCTCACCAACAAAGAAAGAAGATATGAAAAGTTTCCTCTGACTCAAAGACATAAAGTTCTGCCTCACTGCATCGTATAGAAATTTGATTAGGTTATTGAAATAACCGTCAATGTTCAAGAGACCAATGGGTCTATTGTGTAACCCTTCAGAAGCCCACGAGATCAAGGTAAACAAACCTCCCATAGTGTCAACTCCTCTGGGAAGAACAATGAAAGCTTCCACGGCATGATTCATCTCAAAATATTTGTAGTAATTGCTGGAAACTGTGTGCTCTACGCCATATGTAGGTCCGTAGACCCGTCGTGTTGCTATGTACCCAGGAATGAAACCTCTAACGAGACCACCATTGGTAAAGACTGTTGAAGCAACAACTCCTTGTAGGCCAACGTTGCCTCCTCCATAAGCAAGACTAATTCTTCGCCTTATCAATTCTCTTCCTAAATCTACTGCAGTAGCCATAAACTTTGGATTTCTACCAAGAAGACCAACGAATCTTATGGTGTAAGGAAGTGTTCGAGAAGTTCCTTCCATAATGTGAGAATGTGAGATACTCTTCCCATAATCATGATATATATAGTGTCTGGAACCTGACCATTGATGGAAAAGTCATTATCACTAGCCAAAATACGTACAGAAAAATGAATTCGCTTCAACTATCTACAGACAAAAGTTTACTCATCAATACTGTAGTCTACTGACAATGTGACATATTGAGACCAATGAATAGTTAGATTCGCTGTCCTGAAATACAATCAAATCCGAGACGAAAAGTCAAAACGACTATTTCCTAGGACAATGACTCCTTGAGTAACTTCCAAAGAGTGAAACATTGAATAAAGAAAATCTATGATTGGCAACGATAAGTCGCAAACACTATCTTTGTATCTTGTGACTCACATCCTTGAATGACTCAACTTGTTGTGTTAACTACACTCTTGAAACATCTCGCTTGGTCAATCTTGAAAAGATTGAATTCCATTGTTGTATCAAAATATTAAACCCTTGGGAACTTGTCTTAATTCATCAAGATACGTTATACCGATCTTTGAAAACTACACTCTGTGAACTACGGTAAAAGCATTCTGATTGGAATATTATGTTGAGCCTCTCTTTGTGAACCACAAAATGATTGATGCGATTACGTTATCTCTGAAGATTATTATCGATGATCTCATTTGACCAAACAAACTCCATTATGACCCTACTAAGGGAATGTATGTGCAACAATCAGAGAAGAAGTGACGCCACAAGGATCAAGTTGAATCATTCAAGTGAAGATTCCGAACCTATATGTGATGTTGGTGTAAGAATTAGTAAAGATTCCTCACTCTATGAATTCATGAATTGAATCACGCACTGAAGATATTATCTTCTTCACTCGAAATGAAATCAACCATAGTGTTACATCAAACCTGTCATTATCAAGAACGTATCTGGATATATTCCAAACTCGATGAAGAAAGTTGAATACGACAAGACATATATGAAACCCACTCTAACGTTATCACCTGTGAATACGAATTAATGAAAAGACTCATTAACGATAATGAGATCTACCATGAAGTAAACGAAGGAATGTTTTGGTATAAGGTCGATAAATGACAAGCTACTGTACAACGAGTAGTACCTCCTCATAATGCATGATAAATCCCATACCCTGAAAATCTTAGACCACGAAAAGCCATTTGATGTTACATACAAATCATTCTGAACTATATGAATAATGTGAAGATGTCTTGAATGACTTGGATGATTTCGCTAAAACGTATGGATTGAAACAACCTCGGAATCTCCTACTACATCTATTGTGATTCAAAACTACAAATGCTGCTAAGGGACTTTCAGACTAAAGTATTAACTTGGTAATCGTAAAAATTTAAAACATTTCAAACACTTTTATTTATCACAATAATATTTTTCATAATATAAACAGTACGGAGTTTTCCATATTGCGGAAGCTTAACAATCATAATCACAAACATAATTTATTTATGTTCTTTAATTCAAAACCATCACATCCATTCCGACAATCTCGCCTCCGTCTGCCTCCAGGATCACGTCACTTCATTAACCTGCGTGTAGCAAATAAAACATACTACACGCTCAGCGTTGAAGCTGAGAAAGCATATCTAATGCATCGAACATCCATATAAACTGAATCTAAATTCATAATCAAATCATTTGATATCATGCACATAATGTTCAGTTCAGATAATCAATAATTATTAAAAATTATTCATCGTGCATTATTCAACATTTATATTCACATTCAATGTTCATCAGTCATTCATAATAATTGCAATATTCAATTCAATATTCATCATTCAATATTTACTCATCAATATTCAATATTCAACATTCAACAATATCCTTAAACTATTCTTAGTCTAAGGCCAATCAATTTAATATTTGTCAACCCTTAAAGGAATTCTAGTTTAAATAATTAAACTATATTCCAGTATAAAATATTCCTAAATAATCCTTAAGCTA